TATGCCCTAAGGCTATATCACACTGACTTTATCAGTGATAACAAATCCCTGCTACCTAAAAGAGCAATGAAGTACAGAGATATTCCATGAAAAACACACACACACAAAACATGACATAAAATGAAAAACTATAATGGTAATTTATTAAAAACAGTGGCTTCCAATATTCAGAATAAATTCCCTTAAACTGAATTCTCAATTCATTCCAGAATACATCTATCATTCTTAATTTTAACTGTTTATTAGAATCACTTGGAAAGTTTTTTTTAAATGTATCATTTCAGGACCCACCCAGCCCAATTGGTAAATCTCTCCTTTTAAAAACTCCCCAAGCCCTGGCAAGTCTGGTTCAGTGGTTAGAGTGTGGGCCTGCGGACCAGAGGCCTTGGTTCGGTTCCCGCTAAGGGTGTGTACCTCGACTGCAGTTTGTCCCCAGGCCCGGTTGGGGTCGTGTGGGTGGCAACCACTTGATGTGTCTCTCTCTCACATCAACGTTTCTCTCTCTTTCTACCTCCCACTCTCCCTCCCGCTCTATCTGAAGATAAATGCAAAAAAAAAAAATGTTTCCAAGATTGGGAAACGCCAATGGAGGTGCTTCGATTTAAAAATGATGCCCAAGGAAATAAAATACAGTAATTTAGAAAACTCTAGTTTCAAACTTTTTAACACTGAGGATACCATCCCTCACTTTATTTTTTCTCTCTGACCAATGCTGAAAAGATTTTTCTCTATCAAACTGGATTAAATAATAAAGTTTCTTTTTCTGGTTTGCTATCCTCCATATGCCTTAACAGCTTACAATAAGCATTAGAAAACCACAGACTCAATGTGATTCCAATTAAAAGCAAAGAAATCTTTAGGTAGCTTTCCATCTTCTGTAGCATCAGATATAGCCTATGAAACCTTAGAATCCAAGATTGAGTCAGTATTCTAGGTAAAACCTCTCATTTTAGAAATAAAGAAAATGAGGCTCAAAGAGGTTTTGATGATGGTTAAAAGCAAGGCAGAATCAGCATTCGAGTCTCTTGCTTCAATCTAAGTTTTTAAATACTACTCTTGGGCTCATATCACTAATACTCATTATTTCAGAATGCTGAAATTGCAGAAAAGAATTTGGAAGTGGGTAAAGTTGGTGAGGAGTAGGTGTTTGCCCAAAGATATCCTTATTTTTTATGATATATAACACCTTCAAAATATAAGTAGAAGTTGAGTTTATTTAGCCAGAGATTTAAAAGGCTCTATAGTCTTCCTTTTCATTTTTATGTGAATTAAAATTAAATTTAATAATTCTTCTATGAAAGATACCACCTCAAAATATCAATTTTTAGTATTAACAGGTATATTACCTTATAGTAGTAAGATATGAAATACAGAAAAAATAAACTATTCATACTAAAAATATTTAGATTAAATTCTGATATTAAACCTGATTATTTACAAAAAATTTATAGGTGCTTTGGTAGTCCCCTTATCTTTGTTCAGATAGAGTGGAAAGGAGAGAGAGGATGAGCGAGAGAGAGAGAGAGAGAGAGAAACATCGACAAGAAAGGGACACATCGAGTGGCTGCCTCCCGCACGACCCAACCAAGGCCAGGGACAAGCTGCAACTGAGGTACGTGCCCTTAGTGGGAACAGAACCAGGGTCTCTCTGGACCGCAGGCCGACGCTCTAACCGCTGAGCAAAACCGGCCAGGGCAGAATTTACTATTTCTCTAAGGCCAATGTCAAACAGCTTATTATCAACATGAAAAACAAACAAAAAACATAACAAAACACTGAGTTAATCTGATTATAACTAACAGCAAAGACTCTTTATATTTTGGGTAAATTTTTGTTTCAGTATTCTAACTTCTTCGTTTCAACACCCCTTTACACATTTAAAAATTACTAAAGACCCAAAATAGTTTTTACGCAGGTGATATATTATCATATTAGAATTAAAACAGGCCCTGGCCTGTTTGGCTCAGCGGTTAGAGTATAGGCCTGCAGACTGAGGGATCTTGAGTTTGATTCCCAGTCAAGGGCACATACTTGTGTTGCAGGTTAGATCCCTGGCCCCAGTCGGGGTTGTGCAGCAGGCAACCAATTGACGTGTCTCTCTCACATTGATGTTTCTCTCTCCCCCTCCCATTTTCTCCCTTCCAATCAATCTAAAAAGTAATGGAAAAATATCCTCGGGTAAGGATTAACAAAAAAAGAGAGAGAGAAATTAAAACAAATTTTTAAAATATTTATTAATTTTATTTTAAATAACAATTATAGATTAACATAAGTAATTTTTATGAAAAATGACTATCTTGCAAAAACAAAAATTTAAGAGTAGCACTATTTTACATTTCTGCAAATCTCTTTAATGTCTAGGTTAATCAAAAACTGCTACTGTCTCATATCTGCTTCTGCTTTTAAACTGTTGGGAAATGTTGTTTGGGTGAAAAATACAAAGAAAATCTGGCTTTATAAATATATATAGTTGAAATAGCAATTTAGGACAACTATAAATGTACTTCTTTGATACTACACCAAAACTCAACAGCTGGGATTTTCTTCAAGGTTTGTTGGAATGTGAAATCGTACTCCTTATCACTAAAGTTCTTGTACTTTGTTATACTAAAATCTATTAGTCTAGCCCAGCTGGTGTGGCTTAGTGGACTGAGCAGTGTCCCATGGACTGAAAGGTCCTGGTTTGATTCCCAGTCAGGGCACATGCCTGGGTTGTGAGCTCGATCCCCAGTAGGGAGCATGCGGGAGACAGCCAATCGATGTTTCTCTCTCACATCAGTGTTTCTATCTCTCTCTCCCTTCCTCTCTCTCTCTAAAAAAGCAATAAAAACATACTTTAAAAAAGTTTATTCATTTATCTTATGCTTTGAATGGATCTTCCTTTCATGCATGATTTTGCAACACTGTGCATTGGTTATATGGAAAATACTGGTTTCTTTGAATTATACTGATCTTCCAAATCTTGACAGAGTTCATTATACAATATAAAAAAATCAAAATTATTAATACCACCACCACAGAAAAGTTTTTAAGGACTGGAAAACTGTCAAGATCATGGTCGCAGATATAAATTTTCCAAAATTCTAATTTTTGCTTGAAAGCTTGAATTTTACCCTTCACAAGAGATACTATCAGCTGTTTTCCTTTAAGTGACAGGTACCCTTTTCAATTTTGCAGAAATGTTTGCCAAAAAACCAAGATTATAACTCACTGTGTATGGTAAAAAAGACTCAAAAGTGGCCTCCATGACCCCACCCTCTGGTATTCATGTCCTGTGTGATTCCATTCGAGTGTGAGCAAGACATGTAACTTGCTTCTAACCAAAAGACAGCAAAGGTGACGGGATATACATGACTTTGTGTATGTGATCACATTACATAAGATGTTTAACGCCACTCTGCTAAGGATTCTCTTTCTCTTGTGGGTTTTGAGAAAGCAAAAAGCCATGTTGGGAAGACCCACGTGAAAAGGAGCCAGCCAAAAGCCAGTAAAACACTGAGACTCTCAGCCTGACAACTCTTAAGGATTCAAATGCTGCCAATACCACGATAACTGCAAAACAGATACTTCCCCAGTTGAGCTTCGGATGAGACTGCAACCTCAAAGCCCACACCTTGAATGTAGCCTTGTGAGATCTTGAAGCAGAGGCTCCAGCTAAGCCATGACCTGACTCCTAACCCATAAAAACCACGAGATAAAACGTGTGTGGTTTTAAACCACAAGTTTGCAGTAACACTGATACACAGATATGAATACTACACCATACTTTGTCAGTCATTCTTTCAAGTAAAAATGGTCTTGTTTTTAAAAAGTGGGTAGTGTAGTTCATGATTCAATACACAAGTGGTTTTCCTCAAGATACATCATACTTCAGACACGGAAGTGCTTTATGCATACTACCCATTTCACCACACACAATATTTTTAAAAGACACATATTCAAAAGTAGAGAGCTAACAAAATTAATAACATTTCAATACTTCCTCAAGAAAACTGAGTATGACTGTATTTTTTTTACTGTGAATGCATGATGGTGACTAATACAAAAACTACTAGCACAGCTTAGTACCACTGTCTTGAGGCACCAGCAGTTTACTCACCATTGCTTTTGCATCATCAGTGCAAATGTCAACATGGTGAAAAAGGCAAATAATGTCTTTGTATTACTATGACAATAGTATTGACTCTCAAACGCATGAAAGAGTCTCAGGAGAAACTCAGGGGCCTGAAAATTGCACTTTGAAAACTGTCACACTAAGGCAATGCTCCCATTTTTCTTAGGTATACATTTATACATAACATACATGTATGTATGCAAATACATACGAACTATGGGTTAGTCTGGATTGAAATTCCAAATCTATCATTTTCCAGCTGTGTGGTGCTGAGTAAATTATTTAACCTCTATGAGCTTCAGTTTCCTCAAATATAAAACAGGGATAATAATAGTGCCTACTTCACAGGGACATTTAAGAATAAAATTAGATTTATATATATATAGCATTTAGCACAAAGCCTTACATATATTAACAGTTCAATAAATATTAACTATTACCATTAACTTGTAATTTTTGTTGAGTTTTTTATACTAACTATGAAGGTACATTTTCAGAATGAAAAGCTACAATAGCCTCTCAACAATTTTCCCAATTAAAAACTAAAAACACTTGGCGAAGTTTATAATCTTTAACAGTTTGCCATTATGCAATGTTCATTACTGATTGTACTTTTATTCATGTTTTGATTGCACAGTTTTTAATACTGTACCTATTTAATTTAAGCATATTACTAATTTAGAAACAGGTTGGGTAGTTAGTTTCTATAGTTATTATTTGGGTACTGGTTGAGCTATCATAAAGATGGTGACATTTTCTGATGCTAATTATGCTTCTATTGAATGACTACCGATTAGAGTCCAGAATTTTAGCTGGGTATTGTTGACATTGAAAAATAATATCCAATGTATGCCTGAGCTGACTGTGTAGTTTCAGAAACACTTACAGGTTTAGACAAAGGCTGAACAATAACAGAACTATCTGAAGATCTAGATTCAGGATGAAAATTTACTGGCGAGGCAGCCACTGGATTTGATGTTGGGTTCGTGTAGTGTTGACTTGTAGGCTTGAATGCAGCAGTAATACCTGTATTTCAAAATTACACAATATATTGAATATATTTCTATATAGTCAATAATATCAAAATACTTCACTTTAAAATTAAAATGATAGTAAAATGATACTGTACCTCGACTGAGTGCGCCATTCTTTATTCCCCTTGAATATGAGCTGGGATTTACTCTATTCAAAATATCTATAAAAAAATTATATTTATTTTGAAATTCATTTGTTTGAATGAAAGATATATTAAGGTAATTGAAAACAAACAGATTCCTGGAAGGAGTTTATAAGTTGCCTGATTTTAAAATAAAATTAATTTAAACATATATATTTAACTACTAAAGCAGCGGTTCTCAACCTGTGACCCCTTTGGGGGTTGAATGATCCTTTCACAGGGGTCACCTAAGACATAACAGTAGCAAAATTATAGTTATGAAGTAGTAACGAAAATAATTTTACAGTTGTGGGGTCACCACAATATGAGGAACTGTATTAAAGGGTCATGGCATTAGGAAGGTTGAAACCACTGCTACTAAGGAACAGATTACAAGCTTTAATTGTTTCATATAATTAGAACAACTATAACTCAAAATACAAATACCAGAAGTAAAAGATTGATAAGTCAAACCTTCTACATGGCAAAGAAATGGTCCACGAAATTAGTACAACTTTTCCAAAAGTACATTCATATACAATCTATAATTGAAGTATATATCTTTCTTTGAGTGATGATAGGACTGTATATACACTCAGGTTCCTATTACTCAAAATTAAACCCTTGTCCACCCTCTATATCCCACTCACATCCGTAAAAGCCTTTAAGTGTCCTTATATGGCATCTCATTGGATTATCTGCACCATTACTCTTGAGTTCTGAAAGGGAAACTATCAGAAACTACAGACTAAAATGAACCTACATTTTACCAGAGTATCTTATAACTTAAGAGTTTCAAATCTACCACTATAGCAGAAGTCAATGTGAGCCTAATATGACTTTCAGGATCACTTTAATCCTAATTCTTGTATGCATGTGAACTCAGTTAACACCTAGGTTACTCAATAATCAAACTAAAATTTGTAAGAGTGGGGCCGTTTCCCTAAAATTGTGGTTAGAAAAGGTAAAAGCACAAACACATCAAACATGATTAAAATTTCCTTTTCTTCCCTCACAGTAAAAAAGAACCAGATCCCATAAAGTAATTCTATAAAGGCCCAGCTGGTGTGGCAACATGGGCACAAACCCATGTTGTGGGCCAAATCCCCAGTGGGGAGACATTCAAGAGGCAGCCGATCAATGTTTCTCTCATCGATGTTTCTCTCTCTCTCTCTCCCTTCCTCTCACTCTAAAACAGTGGTTCTCAACCTGAGGGTCAAACAACCCTTTCACAGGGGTCGCCTAAGACATAACAGTAGCAAAATTACAGTTATGAAATAGCAACAAAAATAATTTTATGGTTGGGGGTCACCACAACATGAGGAACTGCATTAGGAAGGTTAAGAACCAGTGCTCTAAAAAGATCAATGAAAACATATTTAAAAAAAAATTCTGGTCCTGCCCTGGCCCGTTTTTCTCAGTGGTTAGAGCGTCGACCTGTGGTCTGGAAAGACCCGGGTTCAGTTCCAGCTAGGGGCGTGTACCTCTGTTGCAATTTGTCCCTGGCCCGGGCTGGTCGTGTGGGTGGCAGCCCCTCGATGTACGATGTATCCCTTTCACATTGATGTTTCTCTCTCTCTCTCTCTCTCTCTCTCTCTCTCCCCCTCCCTCCCTCCCTCTCTATCTGAACAAAAAATGGAAAAATGTCCTTGGGTGAGGATTAAAAAAAATTCTGGCCCTGGCTGGTTTGGCTCAGCAGTTAGAGCATTGGCCCATGGACCAAAGAGTCCTGGGTTCGATTCTGGCCAAGGGCACATACATCAGTTGCAGTTCTTCCCCAGCCCCAGTTGGGGTTGTGCAGGAGGCAACCAAAAGATGTATCCCTCTCACATTGATGTTACTCTCTCTCTCTCTCTCTTCCCCCTTCTCTCCCCTCCCCTGCTCTATCTGAAGATAAACGGAAAAATATCCTAGGTGAGGATTAAAAAAATTCTACTGCAACAACTTAATACCATTTTCATTAAAAATTTCACAATTAAGCCCTAGCTAGTTTGGCTCAGTGATTAGAGGGTTGGTCTGAGGTTCAGAGAGTCCTGAGTTTGGTTCCCATGAAGGGCACGTACCTCGGTTGCAGTTTGTCCCCGGCCACTGTTGGGGTCGTGTAGGTGGCAACCACTCGATGTGTCTCTCTAACATCGATGTTTCTCTCTCTCTCTCTCTCTCTCTCTCTCTCTCTCTCTCTCTCTCTCTCTCCCCCCCACCTCTCTCCCTTCCACTCTATCTAAAGATACATGCAAAAATGTCCTCAGGTGAGGACAAAAAAAAATTTCACGATTAAGCCCTGGCTGGTGTTGCTAAGTGGTTATAGCCTTGGCCCGTGGTTGGAGGGTCTTGGTCTCAATTCTCAGTCAAGGGCACGCATCTGGGTCGTAGGTTGATCCCTGGCTCTGGTCTGGGTGCAAGCGGGAGGCAACCAATAGATGTGTCTCTCTCACATCCAGGTTTCTCTCTCCCTTTCTCCCCTTTCCCTTCTACTCTCTCTGAAAAAAATCAATGGGAAAAGTATCCTCAGGTGATTAAAATAAAAAAAGACAATTAAGTTTTTACCCAAAAAATCAAAAAACTATTGCTAAAGTACTTTTTGATGGTTGTATTCTACAAAACACAAGATTCTACCCTTCTTTCTGGCAATTCTATATAAACATTCAACCTATATTCCATGTTAACATATTTTATAGCCTACACACAACCAACAATAATGCCATTTAAATTCTGTATCTTAAGAAATTCTACTGGGGTCAATCTCCTTTGGACATAATTATTTTAAAACTAATATACATTGTTCTAGTTGAACACTGTTAAATCATCTACAATCAGTGTAAATTGAACTTGAATCTTAACTGTCATGTTTTCAATAAGAGAATTTCAATAACAATTTTGCAATATGGTAATATTCCAGTATAAAATAATCACAATGACTAGAAACAAGAATTAAAGAGAATATATAGTTATATTCTACTATCATCAACAAGCATTATTCAATTTATAATCAAAGTGGCACTCCACTTAGAACCTCCATGAGAGATTATCAATCTGTCAAAGGAAATGACATTGAGAATTCAATTGTTAAGTTATTCTCCTTCTGATAAAACTGAATAAAAGTGCTCTTACAAGTTTAGGGCAACAGGAAAAAAATAGCAGACTTTCCGAAAATTTTAAAGTAGACTCTTAGCCCTGGCCGGTTTGGCTCAGCGGTTAGAGCGTCGGCCTGCGGTACAGAGAGACCCGGGTTCAGTTCCCGCTAAGGGCATGTACCTCGGTTGCAGTTTGTCCCCGGCCCTGGTTGGTCGTGCGGGTGGCAGCCACTCGATGTGACCCTTCACATCGATGTTTCTCTCTCTCTCTTCCTCTCTCTCCCTCCCTGAACAAAAAATGGAAAAATGTCCTCGGGTGAGGATAAAAATAAATAAATAAAAATAAATAAAATAAATAAATAAATAAATAAAGTAGACTCTTAATCACACTGTTAAGCACTGCCTTGGTAAGAAAGCTTAAAACTTATACATTATTTCTCTACACTTCTACATATTTTTCAGCAGACATTTTAACGGGTGTCATTGCTCTTGCTTTAACATTATTATAACAATGTCAAATCCAATTCCTCTGAAATCTATTATCTACAAAGGTACACGGTGTTCTGCTAAAATTCCACAAAGATTTAAGTTTTAACTAACTGCTATGTCATCCAAGTATAGTAGCTGAGCACAGTGTCGTTCTCTTCATGAATATAAATGCAAGTTGCTGGAAAATGGGTGTGATCAGAAGCACCTGTTGGCATACAGGCCAGAAACTTTGCAATCATTCATTGCCTATAATTTATAACTGTGAATGGATGACACTGCAATGAGGAGTTACCTAGATTTAAGAACCTCTATCTGAGACTAACACAAAATTATTTAGTATACTCTGACATTTTAGACAAAGTATGCTAAACCATGTTTTCCCTCTAATTCTGAGTTTAAATGAAAAAAATAATAAATGAACACATATATAAATAGGAAATTTGGTTTCTCTAAAGATTATGATTTCTAATAACAAAAGACCTCCAATGTTACCAGCTAATCTTAGTCCATTTCTTTTTCTCAGATCTGATATTTTAACCTCTTACCTCTATCTTCAAGTACCCAATCACATCTCCACCCTGTTTCTAAAATTCATACTAATATTCCATTCAATCTTCCATCCCAAACTCTTTACAGAGGAACAAAAACATAAGTACCTCTAAGCCAGTTCATAATTTTCTTTCCATTAGAAACAATATCTTTTAAAAACTGGCTTCACTAAAAGTAAATGCTTACTTGAAATTGCCGGTTTTGAACTTGATATCTCTCCAACAAATATGGGCTCATCATCATCATCATCCTCAACCTCTTTTACTTTCTTCTGCCAGGGTTCCAACTCTTCTTCTTCACATTCCATAAAGAGTTCTGCCATTTTTGAGTTATCTAATTTTCAAAATGAAAGCAAACCTTATTTAAAAAAATAATAAATATAATTTTGTAATACATAGTATATTTAACATCAACTTTAATAATTCTAATAGCAATTTCTGAATTGTTATTTGCAGTTAGTACATGGTAGCAACAGTTAGAAACTCAGAACTCACTCTTAGATGATAGATAGATAGATAGATAGATAATAGTTGACAGTACTTATTTACAGTAGATAGAAAATTTAGGTACAGTCCAAGTGAATTTTAGTCATATGCCTGGAATATGATAATATCTACAAATATGATTTCACTTAACCATTATCTAAAAAAAAGTATTAACAAAAAGTAGATAAACCAAGAATAAGAGGCAATAGGTGGGGCTCTCCCTCTCGGGAGCATGTATGCACCTTTCCCATACCCTCTCCTTCCACCACCAGGCACATTATCTTTACCTTTCTCTCTTTCTCCTAACCTCCAAGGGCCATTCTTTTGCCTCTGTAATTTGTTTCCTGAACCCATTTCTTCTACGGCTCACTTCTTCTACCTCTGTAACTTTCTAAATAAACTGTTGCTTATAGAGTGAAAAAAAAAGAGAGAGGGGCAATAGGTGAGAGATTTACTACAAAAACAGAAATAAATTCAGGAATACCAAGCATAGAGCAAAGCAAGAATGAGGTTCAAGACAAAAACAGGGAACAAAATGAGGCTTATTCCTTCCATTCAGGACAAATTCTTACCTGAAGATACAGGCCAAAGAGTATACAGTAAGTACCATCATCCTAGATGTTCTGACCAAACACATAGCTCTCAGAAAGCATTTTAGTGCTTCCCTCTTAAATATGGATGGACAACCAATAAGAACCAGTAATTTCAGAAAAATCTCCTGTCTTTCAGACCAAAATAAATAAAACAGATAAAAGAATCCTAAGGAAAAGAGGCAATGCAAAGAGCAAGAAAAATATTTTTTTAAATATAATTAGCATCGTTAGAGATATAAGACAAGAAAGACTGTCATAACACTCAGGCCCTGGCCAGTATTGCTCAGTGGTAAGAGCGTCACCTGCGGACCAAAGAGTCCTGGGTTCAATTCCGGCCAGGGGCACATACCTCAGTTGTAGTTCGTCCCCAGCCCCAGTTGGGATTGTGTGGGTGGCAACCCATCAATGTGTCTCTCTCACATCGATGTTTTTCTCTCTCTCCCTCTCTCTCTCTCTCTCTCTCTGTCTTCCTCCCCCTCTTCCTCCAGCTCTATCTGAAGATCAATGTAAAAATATCCTTGGGTAAGGATTAATAATAATAATAATACTCAGAAAACAAAATATAGGCTTAAAAATATGATAGTCAAAATTTTTCAACTCAGTTTTTAAAATATTGAAATATCTCCAGTTGTAGAACTGAGAGAAAAAAAATAGAACACACACACACATACACACTCTAAATAGAGAAGACACAAGGTTGTTAAAAAATCAATTTCAAAGATACAATATTCACCTAATAAAAGTAATAGAAAGAAAACAGAGAAGTAGTAGGCAATAAGTAATAAATAATACAAGAAAATTTCCTAGATCATAAAATATAAATCTGTGTTGAAAGTCTCCACTAGTACCCAAAACAACAATCAAGAAAAAAGTTATATCAAGACATACATCATGAAGGGTGGGGGAGATAAACCACAGAACTTATATGCAAGTATGTATAACCAATGGATATAAACAACAAAGCTGGGGACAGGGGTGGGGGGGATGAGGAGGAGGGTGTCAATAGGAGAAAAAGAAAAAATATCTGTAACAAAAATAATTTAAAATAATAAAATAGATCAATTGGCCTAGCCAAAAAAAAAAAAAAAAGACATACATCATAAAATTTCAGAACAAAAGAGTTAAACAGAATATCCTCTGCAGGGTTGGGGTCTGAACAGAAACAGATATATAACAGATAAAAAATAATAAGAATAAGAACAACAGCTAAATGACAATACTTTAAAAATTCTTACCAAAAATTATTTTTCAATGCAGAATTCTATACCCAGTAAAACTTTTCATCAAGTGTGAGAGTACAGACTAGCAACAACACCAAGGTAGCCAAAGCATCCCTTTTCAGGAAGCTACTATAGAATCCAGCAAAACATGAATCTTAATCAAGAAAGAGGAAGACACAGAGGCAGAAAACATGGCATTCAACACAAAGTTGCAGGACAATATAAGTTCTGAAAGCCTACAGAACAACCAGTCCAGGTTAGATCCGAGAAAAGTACTTCAGGCAGACATCTCTGGGAGATAAAAAAAAAAAAAAAAAGATGATTAAAATGTAAATTTTCAGATTATCTGCCAAGTTTTACTGTGTAAAAAACTGATTTAAGAGGCTACTAAAGGATATGAGATAGAAACATCGACAAGAGAGAACATCTATTGGCCGCCTCCTGAATGCCCCCTACTAGGGATCAAGTCCACAACCTGGGCATGAGCTCTGACCGGGAATTGAACCGGTGACCTCCTGGTGCATGGGTCAATGCTCAACCACTGAGCCACAATGGCTGGGTTAGTTTTATTTTTTAAATAAGGGAGAATATGGCCCAGCCAGTATGACTCAGTGGATTAAGCGTTGCCCCATGGACTAAGACGTTCAATTTCCAGGTCAGGCCTGGCTCATGCACGGGTTGCAGGCTCAATCCCCAGTGTGGGGCATGCAGGAGGCAACCTATCAATGTTTCTCTCTCACATCTATGTTTCTATCTCTCTTCCTTCCTCTCGCTCTTAAAAAAAAAAAAAAAAATCAATACATATATTTTTTTAAATAAGGGAAAACGTTTGTGTGTGTGTTTACTTTTTAAATAAATCAGAAACTTCAAATGTCATTTTTTAAAAAGATTATACATTCAGGAATCTTTTTTTTTTTAAATCCTCACCCGAGGATATTTTTTCCATTTTTTTTGTACAGATAGAGTGGGAGGGAGAGAGAGGAAGGGAGAGAGAGAGAGAGAGAAACATCGATGTGAAGGGACACATCGAGTGGCTGCCACCCACACGACCAACCAGGGCCGGGGACAAACTGCAACCGAAGTACGTGCCCTTAGCGGGAACCGAACCCGGGTCTCTCTGGACCGCAGGCCGACGCTCTAACCGCTGAGCCAAACTGGCCAGGGCCATTCAGGAATCTTAACGGGCAAACAGAGAAGGATTGGGACTCAGCCTTGAAAAAAGTGGCTACAAATGAAATCAGAACTAGGATAGAAAAAAACCCAGATCCTAAAAGAAAATGCCCTAGCTATTTCCAAGATTAAGGCTCAATTCTCCTGTCCATCACACTAACTTCAAGAAAAAACTTCTCAAGGTAGGTATTCAAAGAATCACCACGTTATTCTCTGAAATTAGGAGAAATCCAGATGAATTCCTTAAAGCCTGAAGGGGAGGATCACAACATGCCGCCCCAAAATATGTCACTTTGGCATAAGGACTGTTTTGAGCTAAAGGTAATTGAAAAAAACAGCAAGAGCCCTGGCTGGTTTGGCTCAGCAGTTAGAGCGTCGGTCTGTGGTCCAGAGAGATCTGGGTTCGGTTTCCGCTAAGGGTATGTACCTCGGTTGCATTTTGTCCCCGGCCCTGGTTGGTCATGCGCGTGGCAGCCACTCGATGTGTCCCTTTCACGTCAATGTTTCTCTCTCTCTCTCTCTTCCTCTCTCTCCCTCCCACTCAGTCTGAACAAGAAATGGAAAAATGTTCTTGGGTGAAGATAAAAAAAAATGATAAGTAAAAAAAATAAAATAAAATGAATAAATAAATTAAAAAACAAGAGCTCTCTGCCCTCTCTAAAACCAGGACAAAAATTTTCCTGTTGTGAAGGTTTTGCCCCTCCCCTCTCCCATACAAGGAGAAAAACTACCATTATCACTAGAAACAAAAAGTCAGCACCAAAATGGGTCCTCACAAATAAATCTCACTAAAATAATCCTAATCGTCCATAAGTTCCCTTCCTTCAAATTACCACTCCTAACATGCCCTAACCCCTTTTCCTCTGTCCTGCCACTTCTGCACAAATTATCATCCTTTGCTAAAATGGTACACAGAAGTCTCAGTGTCTAAACTTACCTCGTTGTGTCTTTTTGTCTATGAAGACCTCCATGAACATAAAAATTAAAATACTGATATTAAATAAAATTTGTCTACCTTTAATCCTAAAAGGATTAAGGAAAAGGTTTTTTTCCCTCTAATAAAGGCGAAACATTCCTCAAATTAGTGAGCTCAATCAAATTTTCTAAAGAAAATAAAAATACTTCATACTATAAACAATTAAGACTTAAAAAAAATAATATACTCAATCCTTTTCTGTCTAACACAAGGCGCAATCCTCCATGCTACATAGAATATTAAAAGTCCTTACCTCAAGATACTAGTAGGAGGATTATGATAAATACATAAGTATCATACAAAACAGGGCACGTCAGATGTAATAATAAAACCGTCAGTGCTGTAGCAGAAGTTCTTGACAGGGTGTTAAGGGAACCACAGAAATAAGAAATGTGCAAAATTTTGTGCACACTTGTATATTTTCTGAGAGCATCAAATTCTCATGAGGGTCTATGAGCCAAAAAGGCTAAGAATCTCTAGGTTAGGGAGTTAAAAAAAAAAAATCACATCTAGCTGGTGGATTTGGATATGTTTCACATGGAAGAAACATACACATTAATCTTTAAAGGAAAGATGTTTTTGCTTTTTTTTTTTAAGTAAAAATGTTCACTGAAAATGATTCAAACATTCAAAAGTATATGGAGTAAAAAGTATGAATCCTTTTGCCCACTCCTGAAATGAGACACTACTGTTTAACTGAAGTGAACTTTTCTAAAGACTGAGACTGGTTTAATGACAGGATGGTCTATCAGCCCAACTTCTGGAATGTGAAACTTCCAGGGAGGTTTCAGAGGGCAGGATTCAGAATGAGCCCCTAGATGAGTGTCTGTGATGTGAAGACTGTTTTGAGCTAAAGGCAACTTTAGCTGCAGGCTCAAGAGAAACTTCT